CGACCTCAGCAAGAGCAGCCAGTCCGCAGAGGGCTACCCCGGCTTAGGGCCAGACTGAAAGCCGACTGATGGGTACTGCCACCGGTCAAGCAGCGCCATTTTTTTTGGAGATGCTTTGCCATGCTGCGGAAGCACCCCCGACCCGACCGTATTTCGAATATTTATACAGGGTGAGCCGGATCCCTGTCGTGGCCAAGACGGCTTGACCTCTACCCGTGTCCCTGCCTCCGTATTTTTATACGAGAGGGAAGGCAGACCCCTGTTGGTGAGATAGCATAGACATCGGGACTTGTCCGTCAGCCATGCATCCCCCGCCTACCCGATCCTATCCGCGATAACGCCCGGAGTGGAATGCCGGTCCTTCCGCGTGCACGCACGCATTGGCCCGGAACATTCCGCCCTCGAGGATCGGTATCCCTGGGTATCGCGCCCTGCGCAGGCGACCGGTATCATTCGCGCACGCCCTACCTACCCGGGGCCTCTCATAGAGAGGCCAGAGCTAAGGAAAAAAAGGGAACCACCCCGTTAAAACCCACGCGGGCCCACCCACTTGCGATCGCGAGGGGGGTGCCGGTCCATCCGCATGCGCGCGCCTTGGCGCGCGGATGCATTGGCCCGGAAGTACACCCCCGTCTACAGGGATCGGTATCCCAGGGTATCCGCGCCTCAGTGTGCGCGGGGACAAGTCCCCCGCACACCCACACACACACCTATCCGGCGCCTCACATCGCAGAGGCGAGCTAAGTGACACGCACACACACACTCTCATGCATCCATCTGTCCACCCAACGCCGGGCCCACGCGGCTCCTATTATTTTGCAGGCGGGAGTACCGACGCCTGGGCACGTAGCCAAGTCCCCACCCTAGACCTTCGATTATTTAGCAGGCAGAAGGAACGACGCCTGACCCTTCTATTATTTTGCAGGCGGAAGGTTGCCGCCTGAGCACGTAGCTCCACCCAAGTGTCGACCCTCTAATTATTTTGCAGGGTAGAGGACGAACCCCTGAGGACGTACCTTTCTCAGCCTTAAACTCTCTTATTATTTTGCAGGGGAGAGAGACGGCCCCTGGGCACGTAGCCTTACCCACCCACCTCTCGCGGTCTCTAAACCCCGCGACAGCCGTTCGCGTTTTTATACGAGGGGGAGGCTCGACCCCTGTCGGTGAGATAGCATAAACATCGGGACAAGACCGTCAGCCATGCGTCACCCATTTACCCGGACAAATACACGCGCGAACCCGAGGGGATGTTGGACCGCTGCATGCGCGCACAAAGTGGCGCGGATGCTTTGGCCTGCTCATTCCCACAAGTACCCCACAAGGATCGGTATCCCTGTTTATCTTACCCGAGCCTCTCATCGTAGAGGCAAAGCTACTGGTTTCCTCTTAGTCTGACCGCTCCCCGAAGACCTGTCCGGCAAGGTAGAACCTGCCAGGACCGAAGTCCCGCCGGTATAGCCCCTCGGATCATCACGGTTCTCAAGCCCGGGCACCACGTCAAGGTGGGAAACCGTCGCCCGGGCTTCGTCTGCTCCAACAAATTGTGCATCACATATATTTGCGTCCCAATAATTCTCGAATTTTAATGTAGTGTCGGTCTCCATAGCAAATGATAAGTCATCCATTGCATTTTGTATAATGTCCATTATAGTATCATGTAATTCAATTTCTTTATTATTTACAGATGTTTGTGGAATATTTAAAATTTGGAAT